TTCCACTCATTCATTGTTGCACTATTCTCTCTACCCTCCTCCCAGTTTGTTCTTGTCCAAATGCCACAGTGCTTGTCAAAGCCAGTTCTGATTAATCTTCAACTCCTAGTTTTGTGGATAGTTTCAATTGTTTTTCGGTTTCCTATTTCATTTCTCTCTGCTCGAATATTTATAATTTCCGTTTTTTTAGAGGGTGTTGGGTTTTCTTGCTGTTCTTTTTCAATTTGTTGGAGATGTTGGGTTAGAGAGTCAATGGTCAATTTCTCCTGCCTTTTGATGTGTTTGCTAATTGCTATAAATTGACCTCTGATCACTGCTTTGGCTGTTTCCCAGAGGGTTTGGTAAGTAGTGTCGTCATTGTCATTTCTTTCAAGAAACTTTTTAATTTCATTTTTTATTTCTTCCTGTACCCAGTCGTGTTCAGGCTAGTTGTTGTTCAGCTTCCAAATGTATGATTTTTTTCCTCCTTTATTCTCTTGTGATTAATTTCTAATTTTGTGGCATTGTGATCTGAGAAGATACTTTGTATAATTTCTATGTTTTTTAATTTGTTGATGCTTGCTTTGTGACCTACAATGTGATCTATTCTGGAGAACGTTCCATGCATATTGGAAAAGAAAGTATACTGTGCTTTTTTGGGCTACATTAGCCTATAAATATCTATGAGATTGACCCATGGCAAGGGGGGTCCAATGGGGATGGCTGACTGAACCATGAGGCTCCATCCTCCTTTGCTTCCTTAACTGGCCATTGTATTTCCTTTTTTTTTCCTCTGGAACTGGGTTCAGGGGAAGGTCTGGAGTAAAACTCAGTGTTAAGCTTACCTATAGAAAAGGGAGCAAATCTAGAGAGAACAAACTTGTGAGTTACAAATAGAAGGGCTTTGGGGGTGTTACTTAGAGGTGTACTGGGGGAGAGGGTGGAGAGTAGCCTCAATAAAATTCTCTGTATACCCTAGGCAGTTTTTTTCTACCCAGGGGTCAGATGGTACAATCCGAGAGCTTAGGAGTTCACCCTGAGGGCTGGCTCACTCCTACACTCAACAGGAGCCAAACGAACTGCTCCACCCCGAGGGCCTGATGGCAGCCCTTGTGGGCCAGGCAACACACCCCTGGGGCTGCCTGGCACATTCCCCCACCAAATTCTCCCCCCAAGTCTGGACCCCACGCCTCACTGAAGACCATGTGGCCAG